AGGATTGGCACTTCGATGAGCTCCTCGGACATCGCTGCCTGGGATCTCTAGTCCCTTCTCGGAACTGCAATTCACAAGGGAAAAGGAGAAGAGGGAACTGGGTGACAAACATCCTTTGGAGACTTGTTGTCCTCAATCCTGCGCCAGGATTTTTGGCACACAGTGGCCCCACTGTATCCTACGGGGAGCTGAAGAGAGGCTACCATTAATCCTGTCATGTGGGAGCTGGTTTGCCAGGCGACTCACTGGCTTTGCCCAGGTGCCAAAGAGCCTGGAAGCTTTGCAAGGAAACGGAGAGAGGAGAGAAGCATCCCCGTTCCCGGCGCGTCCCCTTGGCTGGCTCTTTCACGGCCACCTTGTTGTCATCCTCTTCAGGGCCCACTGGTTCTTAGGGGGCACAACAAGGGCACCAAGCATTCTAGAGGAGTGACATTCATGCCAACGAACAGTACTGAGCTTGTGGTGTTGGCGCCAGTCCGGCAAGCAGAGCTCCCAATGCTTGTACACTCACGACCGACTCTTCAACAACAGCCCCCACTGTCCTCAGCCAGGGAAGGGTCGCACAAAATGCTCTTCAGCCATTTTTTATTTGATTGATTTTCCTTTCTATTGTCTCCCAGAAACAATCAACCCTCCCCGCTCCCTCTGCTGCGGCTCTTCTTCCCTCTCCCTCCATTCTTCCTCCACAAACTGCTCTGGCTTCTTCTCTGAGCCAAGACCAATCTCTCCCCAAAACACATAAACCCTGTGGTTTGAAATACTCCACACCATGCTCTGCAACATGGACCTGCAAGGAGGAAGCTCCTCCGCTTTCTTGCATCAACCTTTTCCTGTGCCTTTAAAGCCCCACTCTCCATTGACCAATTCACAGGTGGAGGAAGAGGGTTCAATGCAAACCAGGACTCAGAGCCAATCCAACGGGCCCAAATCCTGCCAGAACCCAAGCGCATCTATATATGTGTATATGTACAATATGTGTTTCAGTTGGCAGCAAGGAAAATGCAAGATTCGCACACCTAAAGCCATTTCCCACCAAGGGCCACAAGTAAGGCCTTTCGTGGCTAATTTGCCTTAGGGCCAAACTGTTTAAGAGGTGGCCATTGGGTACAAAGCCCCCAAGAAACTCTGGGAACAAGGGCAGCCCCATCAACTCTCCCCGTCCCTCCCCGGATCCGGACCTTTCCCGGTCACCTTTCCAGGTGTGCCTCTGCCTCAGCAGAGATCTTCCGGGGAGTCAGTATATGAGGGGGCCTTCCTCTCGGGCAGCTCTGTTTGGAAGGAGTGGCTGAGCGGGGATGAAGCCCTGGACCAAGCGCCTTGTCCTTCTTCAGAGCTGGGGCTCTGCTTTCCCTTATGGCAGGAGGGGGCTGGACTGGATGGCCCTGGGGGTCCTGTCTATGACCTTTCAAGATGGAATAGCTGGCGTTCCTTAAACAGAGGCTGGATAGACATCTGTTGCGAGAGCTTTGGCTGTATCTCCCTTCATGGCAGGAGAGGGCTGGACTGGATAGCCCTTGGTGTCCCTTCTGGTTCTATGAACTTTCAAGATGGACTAGGTGGTGGTCTTTAAGGACTGGATGGCCATCTGTTGGGAGAGTTTGAGTGATATCTCAATAGCAGATGGGACTGGGTGGCCCTTGGGGGTCCCTTCTATGAACATTCAAGATGGACTAGATGGTGGTCCTTAAACAGAGGCTGGATGGACATCTATTGGAAGAGCTTTGGTTAGATCTCCATTTATGGCAGGAGGGAGCTGGACTGATTGGCCTTGGGGGCTCTTCTGGCTCTATGCACTTTCAAGATGGACTAGATAGTGGTCTTAATGCATCAGATGGCCATCTGTTGAGAGAGTTTGGCTAGATCTCGTGGCAGGGAAGGGCTGGACTGGATGGCCCTTGGGGTCCCTTCTATGGCTTTTCAAGATGAACTAGATGGTGGGCCTTATGGATTGGATGGCCATCTGTTGAAGGAGCTTGGGTGATATCCCTCTCCATGGCAGAAGAGGGCTGGAATGGATGACCCTTGGGGTCCCTTGAATGACTATTTAAGATGAGACTAGATGGTGGTCCTTAAACAGGGACATCTATTAGGAGTGCTTTGGCTAGCTCATTCATGGCAAAAGGATTTGGTCTGGATCGCCTTTTGAGTCCCTTGAATGACCATTCAAGATGGTATAGCTTACAGTCCTTAAACAGGGGCTGGATGGCCGTCCTTTGGGAGAGCTTTGGCTAGATGTCCATTTATGGCAGGAGGGAGCTGGACTGATTGGCCCTTGTGGTCCCTTTTGGCTCTATGAACTTTTAAGATGGACTAGATCTGTTGAGAGGGCTTGAGTGATATCTCTCTCCATGGCATAAGGGGGTTACACTGGATGGCCTTTGGGGTTCCTTGAATGACCATTCAAAATTTATGTATTTATTTAAGGTAGACTAGATCAATGCCACAACCCCTTGATGCAGTTTCTCATGTTGTGGTGACACCAAACCATAAAATTGTTTTCATTGCTACTGTTGTGAATCGTAATGTAAATATCTGAGATGCAGGATGTATTTTCAATCCCTGGACCAAATTTGGCACAAATGCCCGATACGTCGAAATTTGAATACTAGTAAGGTTGGGGGGGTTGATCTTGTTGTGTGCTGTAGTTGCTGGGATGTATAGTTCACCTACAATCAAAGAGCATTCTGAACCCCACCAATTGGGCTAAACTTCCCACACAGAACCCCCATAATCAACAGAAAATATTTTGTTTTTTATGGTCTTTGGTGACTCCTCTGACACCCCCTTGCGACCCCCACAGGGGTCCTGATCCCCAGGTTGAGAAATGCTGGACTAGATGGTGATCCTTAAACAGGGACTGGATGTCCATCTGTTGGGAGGGCTTTGGCTAGATCTCATGGCAAGAAAGGGATGGGCTGGATCGTCCTTGGAGTCCCTTGAATGACCATTCAAGATGGAATAGCTGGCAGTCCTTAAAGAATGGATGGATGGCCTTCTGTTGGGAGGGCTTTGGTTAGAGAGGGCTGCACTGGATGGCCCTAAGAGCTCTATGATCTTTCAAGATGGACTAGTGTAATGTAATGCAATATAATACTACTACTAATAATAGTATGATATTATAATTATATATTTATATTATATGTAATATTACTAATAATTTTTCAATATAGTGGTATGGTGCAATTAGAAATGTTTAATGCTGATATTGTACTATGCTAATAATATAATATATTGCATGTAATATATACCTTGTAAGCAGCTCTGAGTCCCTTTCGGGGTGAGAAGGGCGGCATATAAACATCGTAAGTAAGTAAGTAAGTAAGTAAATAAATAAATAAATAGTGATGGCAGTCCATATGGACTGGATGGCCCTTGGGGTCCCTTGAATGACTATTCAAGATGGACTAGATGGTGATCCTTATGGACTGGATGGCCATCTGTTGAGGGAGCTTGGGTGATATCCCTCTCCATGGCAGAAGAGGGCTGGAATGGATGGCCCTTGGGGTCCCTTGAATGACTATTCAAAATGGGACTAGATGGTGGTCCTTAAACAGGGGTTGGATGGCCGTTTGTTGGGAGGTCTTTGGTTAGACTGGATGGCCCCGTGGGCCTCTTCTGGCTCTATGAACTTTCAAGATGGACTAGTGATGGTAGTTCTTAAGGACTGGATGGTCATCTGTTGAGAAAATTTGGGTGATATCTCCCTCCATGGCAGAAGGGGGCTGGACTGCACGGCCCTGGGGGGTCCCTTGAATAACCATTCAAGGTAGACTAGATGGTGGTCCTTAAACGGGGGCTGGATGGCCCTGGCTCCATGGCAGAAGGGGGTTGGACTGGATGGCCCTTGGGTTCCCTTGAATGACCTTTCAAGATGGACTGGATGGTGGTCCTTAAGGACTGGATGGCCATCATGGCTAAATCTCATGGCAGGAGAGGACTGGGCTGGATGGCCCCTGGGATCCCTTGAATGACCATTCAAGATGGACTAAATGGTGATCTTTAAGGACTGGATGGCCGTGTGTTGGGAGGACTTTGGCTAGATCTCCATTCCTGGCAGGACGGGGTTAGACTGGATGGCCCTTGGGTTCCATCTAGTAGATGGACTTGATGGTGGTCCTCAAACAGGGTCCGGATGCCCAACTGTTGGGAGGGCTTTGGTTAGACAGGATAGCCCTGGGGGTCATTTCTAGCTATATGACTAGAGATGGTAGTCTTTAAGGACTGGATGAACTGGATGGCCCTTGGGATCCCTTGAATAACATTTCAAGATGGACTAGATGGTGGTCCTTAAGGACTGGATGGCCATCTGTTGGGAGGGCTTTGGCTAGATCTCATGGTAGGAGAGGACTGGACTGATGGCCCTTGGGGTCCTTTGAAAGACCATTCAAGATGGACTGGATGGTGATCCTTAAGGACTGGATGGCCATCTGTTGGGAGAGCTTTGGCTAGATCTCATGGTAGGAAAGGACTGGGCTGGATGGCCCTTGGGGTCCCTTGATGACCATTCAAGACGGACTAGATAGTGATCCTTAAGGACTGGATGGCCATCTGCTGGGAGGGCTTTGGCTAGATCTCATGGTAGGAGAGGACTGGGCTGGATGGCCCTTGGGGTTCCTTGAATGACCATTCAAGATGGACTAGATGGTGGTCCTCAAACAGGATCTGGATGGCCATCTGTTGGGAGGGCTTTGGTTAGACTGGATGGCCCTGGGGGTCCTTTCTAGCTATATGACTAGAGATGGTAGTCTTTAAGGACTTGATGGATTGGATGGCCCTTGGGATTCCTTGAATGACCTTTCAGGATGGACTGGATGGCCATCTGCTGGGAGGGCTTTGGTTAGATCTCATGGCCGGAATGGACTGGGCTGGATGGCCCTTGGGGTCCTTTGAATGACCATTCAAGATGGACTGGATGGTGACCCTTAAGGAGTGGATGGCCGTCTGTCGGGAGGGCTTTGGCTCACGGCCTTGAGGGTTCCCTCCACCTGCGGGTCCCTTACCTTGGTGCGCATCTGCCCGGAGGTGGAGACCTTGCGGATGAGCTTGTGGGAGGAGGCGCCCCCTCCGCCGCCCTCCTGCTCTGCCTCGCTATCCGAGGACTCCTCTCCCGCCGCCTCCAGCCCGCCTCCGCCTCCTGCCGCGGAAGCCGGGGACAAGCGGTCCATGGCTGGCGGGGGCGCCGGGAACAGCTCGGCCATCCTTCCTTCCTTCTCTCCCTCGAGGCGCGGATACGGGGGGAAGGGGCTGCTCTGCGGCGCCCTCCGGCAAGGAAGAGCCGCGGAGCCGGACTGGAGAGGTCTCTAATGCTTCCCTCCCTCGCGCTCTTTCTGCGCATGCGCGCTCAGCTGCAAACAGGTGGGTGTCCTAAGGAGGAGGAGGAGGAGGAGGAGGGAGACAGAAGAGGGGGGGGGGGGCTTCCGAAATGTATAGGATTTATGTGCTTTGAATGTGAGTCTGGTAAGAGAGCAGAGAATAATTCCTCGTGTTGCTCTTCCTCTTCCTCCTCCTCTTCCTCTTTCCTCCTTGCAGCGTGGGTCTAGTCCTGAGTGGGATTCCTTAAGGAGGAGGAGGGGGGGGGGAAGAGCTGGCCTAGTGTAGACGCAGGGGGCCAGATCCGCGATGGAAGCGGTGACGTCAGAGCCGGGGGCGGCGCCTTCACAGGAGACTCAAGCCTTGTCCTTGTTGTCCAATTCTCCTGTGAAGCCGAGAGAGTGTGACTCCGTGATGGGAACCGACAAAGGCGGGGGGGGGCGAGCCCGACTCCCCCCTCACCGTTCCCATGGCAACCGTTGCCAACAGAGAGCAGGTGCCTCGCGGGCGGGGGCGCATGCCTGTCAATCAAACTCCTGGTGGGGCTTCTTATTATATCCCTGGTGGGTTGGGAGGAGGTGGAGGAGGATTAGAAGGGCCCCTTTCTCAAGATCCCTTCCCGCCCCCCAACAGGGCTTCATGTGGGGCTCCTTACAAGGAGAGTGTGGACCCCATATAAGGCCACATGGAGCCCCCATCTACACTGCCCCAGATAATTTTCAAAGGTAAGTAAACAGTATTTTGGCGCCCCCCCCCAACCAATCATTGATATATATTTTCTGTTTGTCGTAGGAGTTCTGTGTGCCATATTTGGTTCAATTTCATCATTGGTGGAGTTCAGAATGCTCTTTGATTGTAGGTGAACTATACATCCCAGTAACTACACTTGCCGCACTTGCTCCCTTGCCGGGCCCGCTTTGGGTCCGGAGGCGTGCCTGAAGACCCCGGCGTGTGCACCAAAAGTCACCTCTTCTCCTGACTTTCTCCTCAGCCATTGGGACCAAGAGAGAGAGAGAGAGAGAGAGGTGGAGATGCCCACCTTTCCTGAAGGTAGGCACAAAAACAAAGGAGGGAGCGGAGGTGGGA